GCTCAGTTGTTCTGCTGCCTGCACTGCAAGCTCAAGGAGTCAAGTTCGATCCCTGGTACCAAAATATATATATATTATTTAAAAAGTCTATTTTAAAAGCCATATTTCAGGTCTTACTATTAGAGCTTTGATATCAGTGACTAAAGATTAATTTTGAAGAAATTAATCTTCTGTGGGGACTTCTTTCCAAATTTTAATAAATATATTTTAACAAGTGAAGATGAAAGATAAATCCTATCTATTCTTTCTGAGAACAAGCATGAAAGGAATAAACAAAGAAAAGCCTTTATTCCTTTTCATTAATATGTTTTACAATGAAAAAGTTCTGTAGTTTTTAAAATATTCTTGTATCTAGTTAAAGTACCAGGCAAAAATCTGTTTTTGAATGCACACACACACTCACAAACCAATAAGCATGAGCACACACATTATCATTATTATGGTGAACATTGGCCAGACTAATTTTGGTCAGTTTATCTCTACCTCCTGAAGATTGAAACCTAATTTGAACTTGCAATCTCTGTAAATTCAAATATGTGAAATATCAACATCTACCAATTAACTAAAAAGTAGATTGGGTAGAACATTATACTTGGACAAGTTTCTGAACATAACCTCATCATCCTCTGGGAAATTATGGGTTTTCCATTCCCCTATTCATATAAGTCTTAATTATATTTTGCGGCAAACACTATATGTTACCCTCTTCCTTTAGACCTCACAGTTTATGGATCTTGGAATCCTCTCTCCCTTTTTTATCAGAAGAATCCAGGAATTTGCTTATCTGCCTTCCTGAGATCTCGAGACTGAAGCTTGGGAATTTATTTATCAAAAGGAGGACATTCAGGTTGCCAGAGTGATATTTTATTTACTTGCTAAAAATCCACAGATGTCTATTTCACTTTGAATAAGAGCAAATTTCATATCATAGTTACAGGGCCTACAAAATGAACCTCCTCCAGCTCCCCTCAGCAGAGAACATCCTGCCCTTGCTTTCCTCATGACCTGCAACCCAGGGGTCAGTGCCTGGATCCAGGCTGGCCTCTCATTGCTCTCCACTGGACTATGTCCCCACCTATGGTGAGGGCAGGCTTCTTGTCACTCAAATCTAAACCTAAAGTTTATGTCCTCAGGAGGGAGGTGAGTGCCTCCACCACTGCACTCACAACATATTAGTACATCACCCTCAACACTCTGAAATTATTTATATATTCACTGTTCACTGGCTACCTACCCACCACTCAGCATGCAAACCCTGGAAGAGAATGGGCCTTATCTTCTTTCACCGAAAACATTGCATGAGGCATATGAAACACTTCAGAGCTATCTGTTGAATGAATGAATGGATGAATGAATGAAGTAGATTGTTTCCAAAGATGACAATGGATAATCTCCACAGAAATTGTGATTTAAAAGTTGTTTTAAACCAAACCACTGTATACCCATGTTACTACTATAAAGAAGCAAAGTTGATTTTCTATCCCTTCTAATTTAAGCTGGCCTTGTGATTTGCCTTTGACTGTCGGTGTTCAGTGAATGTGATACTCCACCTGGCTAAGCTAACTTTTAATGGGTCTTGGAGCTTCTACTGTTGCTATCTTTGAATCCTGAACTGCCTTAAAAAAAGTTCCAAGAGTTGGCTAAAGTGTAAATCTCTAAAAGGTGTAAGGCCTCAAAGAGAGAGAGGCCCAGCCAGCCATCAGCCACTCTGGGCAGCCCATCTTAGGGGCCAGAATCGGGAGGGAAACAGTCTTGGCCACGGCAGGTGCACTAAATCATGGCAACCAGCACCACATGCACAGAGATTGTCTCCATGGGGCTCTGTCCAAAAGCAGACTCTGAAAAAGTTGTTGTTTTAAACCCAAAACCTTCAGAGTGGTTAGGATCAAACGAAAAGAACAAGCTACAATGTTTTAAGGTAGAGAAAAAGGGCTGGGCATCGTGAAATCTCAGAACTCTCTGAGGCAGGAGGACTGTAAGTTTGAGTCCAGCTGGAGGAACTTAGTGAATTAGTGAGACTTCACCTCAAAATTAAACATTTTTTAAAAGGAATGAATGAAGATATAGTTCATTGCAAAGGCTCTGGGTTCAAGCTAGGGAGGAGGAGGAGGAGGAGGAGAAGGAGAAGAAAAAGGAGAAGGAAAAGGAGGAGGAGAGGGAGGAGAAGGAGAGAGAACAATGAAAAAAGGACATCTAGGGCCAGGGATTTAGCTCAGTGGTTCTGGTGCCTGCCTTGCAAGTGCAAGGTCCCAAGTTTGATCCCCGGTACCAAAAAAAAAAAAAAAAAAAAAAAAAGAAAGGACATCTAAAGTGCCACATCTTTTACTTTGTAGCCTAACTGCAACAATCCAGACTTGTGTGGACAAATAATCCATGCTCTAACCTGTGACCACAGCAATCAAACTTGTGCATTCCTGCTCCCTGCATTTTTTCAGTTCAGTGTGGCTTTCTCAGTGAAGGATGGTGAGGAGGACCTGGACACGTACCTGTCAAATGACGGTTTCTCCCCACAGTCAAAGGCATCCTGTAGCTCCTTGACCAGATTAGCCTGGCCTGGCAGCCGGAAGAGACCCTCTTCCTTCAGCCCCCTCTGTCGGATGAAGTCCACACACTGCTCCACCAACATCGGGGCTAGGCGGTTCCCATATCTTTTCTCATAGCGCACAGTGTCTTCCAGTTTCTGCCCAAAAATACCTGGAAAAATAAGAGCATTTGAGAAACCTATCTCTTCAGACTTCATTGCTTAGTTTTCAAAGTCAATGTAAAGGAAAAAGCAAGATTAAAATATTAGCAAGCACTTGATATTTGGTATTTCCCATTCTTATATCATCAAATTCATTATATATAATTCTTCAAAGGGAAAAGAGTTTACCTGATGCTGCCCCCTTCCCTTCTAGCCTATGCTTAGCTCAAAACCAATTTAGAAATATTGGGTTTGCAATATTGAATTTGAAGTAGAAAAATATCATAACAAGTATAATTTTAGTTTTAATTTCTCACATTTTTTTTCTGGGAAAGGAACTGAATTCAGAAGATAAAGGTAGAAATATTCTCAGAACAGTCAAATTTTAATTTTCTTATGCTTTATACAATTTACACTTAGTTTAAATTCTGTTCATTTCTACTTTCCCCTTTGTTTTCATTCATGATGTCATGACTGTGATTAAGATGATAAAGCCAGGAAAATAAGACATGTTTTAAAAAAGAAAGGGGAACAAGAGATAGTGGCCAGGGGAGGAAGGGGAGGGAAAGGGGATGAAAAAGGGAAGTAGGGTGTGTTGTGTTCATGGACCAATTCCACCCAAGGAATGTGAACATTATGTGCTGCACACATGTACTAATAAACTAAAATGAAAAAATAAAATTAAAAATATTTCCAACATCATTTTCCCTTTAAAACCTTAATCTACTGACTTACTTGAAACAGAAAAATTAAATTAGTAAGCAGTGAATTCTAAAAGTGAGGCGGGTGGGTCATGGGTGTTCTGGCTTGCCAGATAGGGCCCTACAGTTGCCAGCACTTAGTGGTAATAAAGAGTAGCACAACTTTTAGTCAGTTTTATTACTGCCTTTAAAATATGCCCAAGCACACATTCCTCGTTGTATGTCCCCGGGGACAGACTGAGCACCCAAGTACTCCATCCTTGGTGCTCCATGGAGAAGAGACAACTTCTCACATATATTCATACTAGATAGTAGCTTGGTAAATATGATCAACTGATGAGAAAAGAAGGGAAAATAAAGTCAAGTCACATATGACCCCAACCTCCTCAGAGGAAATGTATACCATTAAATGGTTTTAATGGCCTGGTAAGTTTCATAAAAGGGGAAGGAAAATAAATGTCTGTTAAAATTACATAAGACTCCAAGGCATTTGAGGAATTATTTAACAACCACTGGGTTAATATTTGATAATAACAACAGATGTTTTGGCCTCCTCACACCTGTAAAATCATTTATCTATGGATTCAGCAATATGAAACTATCACATTCCAGCAATAGAGACTTGCTATTAAAGAGAAGATTCATACAAAATGATCCCACACTTGATATCAAACCTAGCACTGTGGACTTCATGTATTCCTTTTAGAAAATAAGGTTCGGTGATCCAAGACATACCAAATAGAATTAGAAAATGGAATTTTGTAAAGCCAGTAAAGGTTAAAGCAGGTAACAGGTCCATTTACCTTAGTTTGGAGACTTTAGAACAAGTAATTCACCAGCCATTCCCCTGATATTTTCTCTTGTTATCTCTACTTTTTTAGATGAAAAATTAAATGTTTCACTTCTCTTGCAGTGAGGTGGCCACATGGCGGATCGCTGGCTGAGAAGTCTCATGGAGACCAGAGGAAGACTCGTTTTGTGGATTAGAATGATATCTGGAGCTCCAATCACTCTTTTCCTTGCCTTTTATTTTTCATTTTTTATTTTTTGCTGTGCTTTTCCTTTTCTAATGCACTATGAACGGGAAAAGCATGCCCTTGTCTACCACAAAAGGCAGTGACATTTATTTATCCTAAGAGACCAAGAGGCACCAGGAATAACTTTTTGGGTTTTTTTTGTACCAGGGATCGAACTCAGGACCTTGGACTTGCTGGGCAGGCAGTGGCACCACTGAGCTAAATCCCCAGCAGGAATAACTTTAAGAAGTACAGGAACTGGTTCTCATTTGCTCTTCTGGGTTTGGAGTTATCACTTGGATTTAAAAAAAATTTTAAAAATATTTTAACTGATACACAAAAACATAAAAGTCATGCATATATTTATTGGGCGAGGAGTTGCCTATGCACCTGTATGCACTGTGTAGTGTTTAAATAAGATTAAGCATATCTATTTCCTCAAACATTCATCATTTTTATGGTGAAAACATTAACAATCCTTTGTTTTAGCTTTTTGGGAAAAATGTATTTATTGTTACCTATACTCATCCTACTTGCAAAGCATACCACAACTCCTTGCTCCTATCTAACTGTAGCTTAGTGCTGCTGGAATAAGCTCTTTCCATCCCTTCCTTCTTCCCTCTGCCCTCAGCCTCTGGTACCCACCATTCTATCTCAGCTTTCATGAGGTGAAAATTTTAAAGTCTACCTATGAGTATGGCCACTCAGTGCTTCACATAATGATCTCTGGTTACATCCATATTGTGCAAAGGACAGAATTTCATTCTTTTATGCCTGAAAAGCATTCTACTGCATATATGAAAAACATTTTCTTAACTTGTTCATCAGTTGATGGTCCCTTAGGTTGTTCCCATTTCCTGGGAACACTTTGGGGAGGATAGACATTTTAAACACATTAATTCTTCCAATCTATGACCATACATGTCTCCATTTAAAAAATATCTTCTTCAGTTTCTTTCATCAATGTGTCATTGTAGAGATCCTCCACCTCTTTAGTGGACCAAATTCACTTTTAAATTTATATATTTGTTTTTATAGCTATTTTAAATGGGACCTTTTTCCTTTCTTGAGTTGGGGATGATACTGGTCCTTGTAATGATCATCTTTAACCCTTACACTGATCACAAGGGAAAGCAACTAACAGGGGTACTGGGACTGAAATGAGCCAAATACCAGCAGCACTTTACTCAGATAGGTTTTTAATGTGAGAAAAATAAGCCTTTCTGTATTTAAGCCTTATTACCTTGGCTTTTCTGTTACTTGTAGCAAAACAAAATTCTAGCCCATTCTGTGGTGATACTGATATTGGCTGACAGCCTAGTGTTTAAAAACAAGGCTTAAAAATTGGTTTTACGAATGGAGAACACTGATTCTTTTTCTGAGTTATTTGGAAACAAATGCTTATTTGGCTACAATGTTTCCATTCCATCTCACCAAAATTAAGAAAATAATTTTATAAGGCACTTAGAAGTCATTTAATAATAACATGATGGCATTCAAGAATAAATTATATATATGTACAATTTTTATATTTTGGATATTATCTATCTATCTATCTATCTATTTAAAGTTTCTCTCCATTTCCAGGAGAAAATCTAGTACAAACATTCCAATTTCACTTCTACATACACTACAAATAAGAACTAAGCTTCTAAGATTTAATTTTATACAATAATGAAAAGCAGTCAAATATACTTTTCTGAAAACTCTTAGGATTTCTTTTTGGCAAACAACTTAGGAGATGATAAAAGAAGGGATAAGGTTTGCTTCAGAGATATTTTTTGTCTTCCTTTTTTTTCTTTATACATGAAGATTTGCCTTTGTTATAAAATAAGAATTTACCTGGAAAGTATAGCAAGATTCCAAAATTTATTATGTATGTACTATTATGTACTAAGCCCTTGACATATATCCTTCTACATTGTATCAGAAACATATAAAGTTGCTACCATTCTCCCTATTCACAGCTGAGGAAATTGGGACTTACAGAGCCTGAATAATTTGCCCACAGTTAGTTACAGAGCACCAAGTGCCAGAATGGAAGTCCATGTCAGGACAGGCAGCTTCAAAAGTTTTGAGTCTTCTTCCTTTTTATTGAATCTAAATTGTCATGAGTCCTCATTTTCTAGTCATTTAAAATGTTAGTATATTCTAAAGTGAGTAAAATAGTGTACTTTTATGTTTTAAAAAGTGATACTAGCCAAGCTATACTTATATATGCTAGACATGTGATCAGCAGTTTATCTGCATTTCTCTTATTCAAAACCTATAGCACCCCATGAGGTAGGTACCTTCTCTACTCTTATCCTGTGTACAAGGAGTTTGAAACCCTAAAGGGGCAAGCAACTCAGGTACTGTAGTAAACTGCTGAGCTGAAATGCGTTCAGGGCTTCCCTGCAAGTCTGTCATACAATACTGGGTAGGCTGCATCACAGCTGAAGGCAGAGGTGGAGGAAGAATCCTACCACTTACTAAGGAGCATCCTGACCTGGGTTCCTCTCAGAATTACAAGGCAGGGGTGAGGGTTTATGCAGAGAAAATGTAAATTGGGTGGAAAAATACCATCTAAAATTGGAGAAGAAACAAACTGGCACTTCAGTGAGCATGCTCTCTGAAAGACAGTTTTCTTCATTTAAAGCTTAAGCTTGTTTAGCCATGTAAAAGGTAAGAAAGATAAAGCATGTAGATATCATGTACATATACGTATAAATTCCTGTGGAAATATGATAGTTTTCTGCTGTGGAACTGGCCTTGTGAAGAATTAATACAGACTTCTAATAGGTGTATACTCCCTATTCTGTGGCATTAGAAATGACAATATGCCAAGCATCGTAGTGTAAAATGTTAGATGTGGATTAACCTCCTGTGTAGGAATATTTTTTTGAGGAAAATCACTAATGGAGTAAAAAGTAATTTAAAAAACATTTCATTTAAAGTTTCCTTGAGGGAAGCAGTGAGATTTCAAATTTTAAAATTAACAACAACAAAAAAAGAAAACATAAAGGTCACATGCTGCCTCTAACTAGCAGCATGGGGAAAGAACCCACTGATTAGTAGATTATTAACCAGGCTACTCCCTCTGGTGTGGGTCAGGCAAACAATCCCAGCTATCCCCATTTAATTCTCAATGTGGTCCCACAGTGCCTGACAATACTATCCCTGGAATTTCTGGGTGACATTGGTATGCCACGCTTATTTCCCTGCAGTACTCTGATGCTGCCATAAAATACCACCAGGAGAGGACTTTTCACCAGATGGAGAAAGCAAATTGCACAGGTGAGTTGATTACATGTGAGGGAGGAAGTTTCAACTGGAATGTGTGAAAGAGAAATCTGAACTCCTGCAGGGCTTGTGAGTCCTCTTCTTTGCTAGTGATTTATATGACCAATGGCCAGGAGCAACCCATCCAATTCATGCATGTCTTCAGATTCATATATTCAAATCCCAACCTCCCTAATAATAAGTAAATGCCAAGCCAGCCTTCTTGAACTCTGTGCCCTGTAACTATGTATCTTTTTCCTTCCTTGATTCCATTAAGCATGACTCCATTTCATAACTTCCTATCTACCTGAAACCTATTGCAATTTGACTTCTGGCCCTGCCATTCCACTGGAAAGGCATTTTCTAACACCACCACCAACTTCCTGGTTGTCAAACCACTGGCAGCCATGTTTGGTTTTTGTATTATTTTATGCTTAGCTCCCTTTAAAACTACCAATCTTGTTCTTCCTGACACTTCCCATTTGTATGATTTTTGCATCTTGGAAGGCCTCAATCTCTTTCTTGACCATGTAACCTATTACTCCTTTTTCCAAGTTTATTGGTTGTTTGAATTCTGCCCTCAGTCTTATTTTTCCTTTATTTAATACAATTTCTCTGCTGGATACCATCCAATTTAACAGCCTATCAATTATTCCCAGATTTGTACCCTAATTTAGGTTATTGTGATTAGATTTCTAATTGCCCCTTATATCTTCAGTATGGATAATCTGAAAACATTCGCAAAGTCAAAACTTTTAAATGAGCTAAATCATCTTTTCTTTGAAATCCTTCCTACTTCCTGTAGTCTTAATTTGGCTACTGATACCAGTCATTCCCCCGCATCACGGAAGTCAAGCTAGCTTCCCCCCTTGCTTCATGTTATTTGTTCAACTACCACATTGGCTGCCTCCAAACTTGTGGTTGCATTAGCTTACTTACTCAATATTTCTCACATGACTTTTTGGAGAGTAGAGCTCCCAAATGAGGTACAGATTCCCATAATATTTCAATCAGATCATTCCACTCTTTGACTTCATATCTTCCAATGGTGCCCACTGGTCTATCTTTGTAATCAAACTCATTTTCACACATGAAAGTTCTCACAATCTGATCTCTGCCTCTTTATCCACCCTTTATTCAACAGATATTTTGGTAGCACTGACTGTGTACCAAGCATCACAGCATCTCCCCTCTCATTCCTCCTGAAATCTCAGACACCATGTCCTCAAACCATACTGGACCATTGGCTGTTTTCCTAAATGGAGCACGATTAGGAGGCAGGTCCTACTTCATGAGTCAGAGGAGGAGAACGTATGCTGCAAGGTTCAACACACATCATTTGGGTTGAGTCTTTGCTAACATTCCCACAAACCCCAACCTAGAGTCAAATTGTGATATATTTCTTGATTCCTTAATGTATTTCTCTGTAATTATTTTTTTAAATGCCCACCTGTACTGGACTAGGTCTCAGTCATCAAAAGAATATTGCACTTTTGTAATTATTAGAGTAAAATAATTATTTTACATCTGTTATGATTACTATAAATAATATTGGAAAGTAGCTCTATATTACAAATATATCCTGTGAACTACAGAGCAGTTTCAGGAAATTTCCCAAAGTACCACAGGCACAACGGTTGAACTGGCATTGGTCCCAGGTCTAAAGGACACCAACGATCATGCAGGTTGAATACTCATTATCTGAAATGCAGGGGACTGGAAATGTGTTTCAGATTTTGGAATATTTGAATATATACAATGATATATCTTGGCAATAGGACCTAAGTCTAAGCACAAAATTCACTTCTATTTTATATAGACCCTATGCACATAGCCTGTGGGTAACTGTATGCCATATTTTAAATAATTTCCTTCATGAAACAAATTTTCATGGTGTGGAATTTCATATGGGGTCATCATGTTAGCACCCAAAAAGTTTCTGATTTGGGGTTTTGGACTTTTAGATTTGGGATGTTCAACGTGTACTCTATTCTGCTGTAGGGAGGCCCTCAGCTTTACATCCCTGGAGCAGAGTATCAAGATGGGTGAGTCAGAACTGCTCTGCAAACATGTGAGGAATAATTGCATGTATGAGAATAAAACCTCCCTGATGATAGACAATAAATGAGTCATTCCATTGTAAAATGGACTCTTCGGTAGTTCTTAGATGACATTAATTTCCATAAAAACCTAAGAGCAGAAGTGTCCTTCATTTGCTAGTGAGAAGACAGAAGTTTAAAAATATAGTTGCAATCCACATGCCGTGGTATCTGTGCTTAGAGTTTTCTACCTCTTCTTGTCTGTAGGTCTCATGCTTAGCCACAGAGGGAACTGGCTTTGCTTTTCCTGCTGCTGAATGCAACTCTGCCAGCCGGAGAGATCCAGCCATCACCAGAATTGTAAGAGTTTTCAATGAACATTTGCTTTTGGTAAATGGACAAATCAAAATAAAGACACCATTTGAGCACAAAACTAAGAAGCAAAGCTAGCCAAAATTTACTTCAACCTGTCAGCAGCTTTCTCAATAGCCAAAAAAAATCTTACGTAACTATAAACCCTTTAATTCAAGGAGCTAGGAGTCCTAATGAGTCAAGAATGCTTAGTAGAACTTTGACTACTTCACAGTTAGAATGAGGAAGAAGAAGAAAGATAACTGCATAGGAATATGAAGAAACTGTTATAAGGTTAACACAGTGATCTAGTGGCCTATGCCTAAACCAGTGGAGCAATGACAGAAATCCCTTACAGCCAAGTACTAAGCTGTGAAATTTACATGCCTTTCTTTATTGAGTACCCACAGACCTTGTTTAAGGCAGCCTTTCTTCTACAAACAAAACTTGACTCAAAGATGCTACATGACCTGTCTGAGGCCATACATCCACAAAATAGCAGATCTGGGTTACAAATACAAGTATGTATTATTTTAAAGTCATCTTTTCCCCACTATATTCTGTTTCCTTAATTTAGGCATAATTCTGACCATTCTTTTAGGGTCATATAGGAGAAAATATGATTTCATGCAGTTTAGGCAACTCACTGCCTTTTCAGATGAGCCTATGATCAGTCTTTTGTTCATAGTCATCCAGGACTGTGTACAAAATTTGCTTTAGTGTTTATCACAGGTTATTACTTATTTACTAGCCCCAAGGAGCCTGTGATTTCATGGATTTTGGACAGCCTCTTCTGTTTACATTCTCATTCCTAACATGGCTTGGTAGAGAATCCAAAAAACTTTGATATATGAACTACTTGTTTATAATTTAAAGTGATATAGATTTGGATAGTAACTTTTGTTAGAAAAATTAATTTTGAAAGTATGATTACAACATAAATAACAAACAATACATTCCAAAGAGAAAGTTGGCGTTATCTACCACTACTATGAAGTGTTCTATTTCAACTCATTAGCCCATGGAATAGCAGGAAATGGTAGGTAGTAATATCATACTTTACCATCTTGCAATCAATCTTGAATCCCTAATTGAATAGACCTATTGCTAAACCTTACTTTGGGAGGAAGTAAGTGTGTGTGTGTGTGTGTGTATATACAAGTGTGCATAGTTGCTTAAGGTGGCTACAAGGATATCACAGCCAAGTGACAGCTTCAATAAAACATAAGGGTGATAGGAACATTACTGGTTTGATGAAGAAGTGGGAGCCAAAGAAATCTTGTTCAAAGGCTAAAATCTGGATGGGAAATGGAGGAGAAAGCATCACAGCAGAAGAAACAGTGAGCAGAGATAGATAGGTGGGGCAGGACATGTGTTTAGGGAGAAAATGTAGATCAATCTAAGGAACTAGGGAGTTTGTACAGTAGGTAGTAGGTGGGATCACTTAAAAGGCATTGATAATTATGTGAAAGAAGACTTTTCCCTGCGGGCCACAGGAGCTCATAAAACCTTCTTGAGCTGTGGGATATTGCTTGACAGCATGTTTTAGGAATACATATTCAGCTTTAAAAAGTAGACTATGGGTGTCAGGACTCTGTGAAGAACACTGGTGGTGGACAGAGTGAAGATGGATGTTGTCTTGCATAGATACTACTTAAGATAAATTTCATGCAGGAAGTAATAAAGGCACAGACAACCAGGGTGATGGGAACAGAAATGGGCTCAAAGTCTGCAAGGAAGGACAAGCAGCTGTGCATGACCACTAAGTGGTTATAGTGTGTGAAAAGCTACTGGGGAGTGGATGGTGATTTATATCCAAGAAAAAGAAATTCATGGGAAAAATGAAGCAAAGTCAGAGTTGAAAAATGTTGTTTCCTGGGACACAACAATCAAGTAATCTAGACCATTCTAGTTAGACCAAGTGCTCAAGACCCAACATGTATACATTCCCAGGTAATCAAAGCATAGGTTATGCTCCTGATATTAGTGTTACAGAAGTAATGAAAATACATAGTTTCAAAATCCACAGAGTAAAAATACATTGTAATCTTTTTCTCACCACAACTTAAATGTGAAGTACCACATTCCCCAGCTTCCTGCCTAATAGATGTTTCTTAGTTTCTGGGTTTCTAAAACCACTGGGAAAAATTTTTCAGTGACCTTAATTAGTACCAGAACAAAGAAAGAGATGAAAAGGGCAGTAAAGGGCAGAAGAGGTCTGGAAAAGAAAGGCACTGTGCAAAAGGAGTGGTGGTTACCTAGCATGCAAGCTCTGCTCCCACCAGGCCCCTGGGAACTTTTACCCAACTCCACCGTGCTGTTGGGCAGCTTTTCTGAAGCCTGGAGACTTTAGAGTCTCCGTTTCTGTCGGGGGAAAAAAAATATATATATATATATATAATGTACATCAGGAAAAACAGCTATGTCCACATTTTTTTTCTTCTTGACACTTTTGCTAGTTTCACAAGTGCTCCTTGCTGCCTTGCTGTGTTGCTTCAGATGGCTTCCACTGGTGCCAGGCAAGCTCAGAAACCAGGTCCACTTCTAGAAATATTTGAGCACCCAGGAGATTTAAGAATGCACATAAACCACCCCCTTCTCAGGGCAGCATGGTTTTGGAGAGCAGGCAGGGGAGCAGTTGGGGGGCAGCTAGGCACCTGAGCTCCCCCAGACCCTCTGTGCTAACAGCCCAGAAGCAGGGGATCAGGCAGGGGCAGCCAAGGCTTCTGGCACCCTCTCATCACAGAAAGCAGAATACAGCCTTGCAAAGGCAACATCTCTTAATCCTTCTTTCAAATGCTGAACATTCCCCAAACTAAGATTTGCCTAGGAAAGATAGCACTGTAAAAAGAGCCCCCAGGAGCTGAGCGATGGAAGATCTTCCCGGTGTCTGCAGCCCCTCGGTGAAGGAGGGGGTAGTTCCGGTCCCCTCCTGGGGTTAAGGAGGAAGGAAGGAGGCTGGGGAACAGCTGCTTTCCCAGGCATCCTCACAAATCCACCATACCCCACATTGGAGCAGGCAAGGTAAGATGGTAAAACGGGCCAAGCCCTGTCCTCAGAGATGACCCTGCAAACATGCCCTGTCACTTCTAAAGGGCAGGAAACTCAAAGAAAGGGAAGTGTCCTTCAAGCAATTAGTCCTTGTGCTTTTCTTGATATTTGTCATTTTCAGTTTCTCTATCACTGCTATAATCTGACAGCATCCATGAGAGATCCCCAAAGATTTATAAAATATGAGGTTAAAACTATGTATCTCTTATTTAATTTCCTTTATGAATGAGATAGGAATGTGAGTTAATTTCTGAATTTCTGGCTGATAACGTGACAGTGGTCCTAGCTAGATCATAACTTTTTCAAAGAAAAAGACTCAGAAAGAATCGTTAAAAATTTCCCTATATTTTGTGCATTTAATTTTCATTTAATTTTTCTTAGTCTTGTTTTTTTCTCATTCTTTTGTTGGCTACTAAGTAGGGAAGGTTACTTAGAAGGTGGAAAAGCAAAGAAAAAAGGAAGAAGGGAGCAATCCCAGATGTTATTCAATTCCGCCCCTGACTAAATTATTGCCTTTCAGTGCGTGACATTGAGATTATAATGACCTAGTTTGCACTTAAACAGACATTCCATTTATTCTCATTTTAAAGCAAAAGGAAACTTTAAAATGTCTTCATACATAAACATTTTCTGGAAACAATGCATTTTACTTAGGCTGTTTTTTTTAATTCCTTCAAAATAAGCCAATTCAGAAATGTTAGTTTGTTTTATTAATCAGAAGTTCTTATATTATCCCACCCCCGGTTCCTGATAGTAGTTCATATCTCTGTGTTTTCCCAATGGCATTTCATGATGTATTTGGACAGTCAAGGGATTTCTTAATTCTAGCCAATGTTAATGCAAGTCTCCTCACAGGGTCCCCAGAGATAATCGGAGTCTCAAAACCGTCTCCACAGGAGAGGTGAGGTTAGCACAGGTAGCCAGAACCCAAACCAAAGCAATGGGACACGGAGCAGAGACTCGCGGTGGACTTGTCCAAGGGGTCAGGACTCAGCTGCTGGGTAGGGGTCTGGGAAGAGCCCCAGGGAGGCGTGGCCCCTACTTTCAAGATTCAGCTCCACTTGCTCAGTTCCCTGTCCATCAAGATGATCGCTAGAGGACCACCATATCTTAAGCCCCACCCACTCTGCCCATTTACAGACCGTAATAGATCAATAATAACCCTGAAAAATAAGTGCAGATGCCAAGAACACACTCAAATCCCTCTTGCACAGTTTTAAATTTCCAAACTCCTGGTTCATCTGAGCATACACAGATTTAAGAGCATGAAAGGATACAGGTATACTTCTAACAGGACGTGAAAATGTCAGCTACCTACCTTTTCGAAAACTAAAACACCGTTTGATTCTTCGGTAGGTAGTTTTGGGGATGAAGGCAGTCGGAGCTAGGGCACCCGAGGGGCGTCCCCCAGAGTTCCGGTCTTCAGGCATCATTCAGGCCCTGTGCTCTGAAGCGCTGCCGGTGCTTTTACACTCCGCCTCTGCGCGGAACCCGGCAGTCTCTCCTCATTTTGGTTTATGTGTTACATCTGAAGTGCTGATTCCTACAGCTCCAAGATGTTGATCAGCCAGGTCCTGATCTCCTTTCACCAGCTCTCCTTTCCTACTTTCTGGCAGAAAACTTCTTTTTCTTTGGCCTAATCCAGGGAGATTTTAAGGTAGTCAAGTTTCTGCAGACACTCCAAAATATCACAGGCAAAGAACTGCAGCCAGCGAGAGACACCACCCATTCAAACTGCAGGACTTGTTTGGTTTGTTCTGTTTTACTAAGAACTATCTCCTCAGCTGGGCTGACATTCCTCTGGAAAGGTCAGCAAACAGCCCCGTGCACTGGAAAGAGGAACAATGACAGAAAGGCCCCTCAGGAACTGTTCAGGAGAAGTCCTTGCTGGCTCCTCTCATCTGAGCAAAGCGGGAGGAGAATCGCGGCACCTGGTTCAGAAAGCATTTCAGTGCGGGAGGGATTCCTCGCCAAGGCCTGCCCTGTCTCTCTCACAGCGCCCGCATCCCTTGATTCTCTCCGTGAGCTTCCTTGTCTTCCAGCTCTGCCTGGAGTCCCACGTCAGAGCAGCGGAGAGCCCATTCGGGAGGCGCCGGCGGTGCGGTGCGGAGACTCCCGCCCCTCCTCTGCCGTGCTCCTTTCCTCAGTGAGAGCGGGCGGAAGCCGGCAAGGTTGTGGCTGCCTCTTCACAGCTGCGGCTGCGGCTGCCTCTGCCCGCTGGTCACATGCAGCAGGTGCAGTCACAACCCGAGTGCCGACCGCGGGTGAAGCCCTTGCCTCTCCTGATTGTGCCCGACCTGGGCGGTCGTCTTGGGCAGCACCTTCACGGCCCTGGCTCAGCCCCTCCTGCAAGCCACAGGGTGTCACAGCACCGGCCCAGGGTCAACTCTCTGCCCCCAGGCTTGCCCATTTGTTCTCTTCTTGTCCAAGACTTGTTTTTTCCCCCTGATCTATGCAGTCGAACTCATTTGGAAGTGATAATTTAATGTGCAGACCCTTAAAACACGTATGTCACATATATGTATGTGCATGTCTGTAAAATAAAAATATTCAATCCAGCAGCAAAGGGTCTGCAATTATAACCACGGGACAAGCCAGCCCTGCATGTGTACGCTGAACCACATACGTGTTTTTCTGGCTATGCAGCTTCTGTACCCCAGCTCTCAGGCCCCCACCCCTTTCAGTCCCCCTCTCCAAATAATTTACTCCTTGGGTTAATCATTCACCCACCGGCTGTTCCATCAGCAGATCTAGAATGCTAGTGCTTTCATCCCAGCTGACCCCGAAAGCCCCTGTGTCCCTGCCAGCCCTTAGCCAGAGCCCCTAGCACTGCAGCCCTGATGGGTCAGACAATTTCAGAGAAAGGTTCACCACCAGCTGCTGCCACCCTGTGGGGCCAATGCTGCTTCCACAGCACACTACTGGGAAGACAAAGGCCTCCAAATTGTACCCTGGCACCACCAAGAGAGACCCAGTGTCACTAGGAGCCACCTGAGCTGACTGCCGGGTGCATGGAGGGTGGACAGGATTTGGCTGATCTCAGAGTTTTGGAGCTAGGAAGTTAAACAATTTTGTCCAATTTTCTAATTTTACAAGCAGGGAAACCAAAGGCGAAGGAAAAAAGTGCAGACAGGCAACATCACACATCTGATCTGTGTCTAAGGAAGGCCACATGGTCTCAGCAATAGACCTCTGCTTGCCCACTGCTGATTATGCATAAGGATTATTCACCAAGGATTTTACTGTCTCTCTGGCTCTCTGACTCAATTCTTTTGGTATAGAGATAAATATATGAGGAACCCAATTTTGTGAGTAGCTAAGTAAGGCTAAGCACTCAGAGCTAATGGAAAATTAATGGGTTCTCACACTCCTTTGAGCCTGGGCTAGGCACTTCCATGAACACTGCCTCAGAAACAATTGGGAAGAAACCCAGTGTAAAAACAAACACAAAACAGAAACAATGGCAGAAAGGATGAAAGGACAAAAGAAAGAAAGAAAGAAAGAAAGAAAGAAAGAAAGAAAGAAAGAAAGAAAGAAAGAAAGAGAAAGAAAGAAAGCAAGCTAAGTTTTCCCAAAACTAAGTAAATGTTTTGACATTCTAATTTTTGGATTTACTTGTTAAGTAAACACCATGTACTTCTCAGAATTGTTAACCGGGGAAAAAACCCGTTATGGGTGTTTTTAAGCAAACAGCACAAAGTTATGCTATCTAGATTCAATACTGAATTTTGTTAGCAGCCCAACAAGTTAAAAGACAAAGACTACTTTTCATGTTTCCATTGGTTCGCTTCCCCATTTAAATTTTTTGTCATAAATTTGCCTTATTTGATAAAAAGAAAAGATTTAGAACTCTATAGTCTTGGATTTTATAATTTTCTCTATACAGTTTTTAATTTCTTGGCAAGCACTTCAGATGTTTCCTATAATTTAATCAAATGTCCATTACTGTAATGCCAAAGAGGGAGTATTTTACATGTATAAGCTAAAGCAAGATAAACTTAAGTGTATTACAGAGGATTTTTAATAACATAACTAATGAAACTGCCATAGTGTCATAATTGCCAGCTCTATAATAGCTGTATTTAAAATGTACCCAGATAGCACAGAGTTTGAATCAGGGTGATAACATCACTTTCTCTTCGAAATATCTTTACAGATTCTGCCTAATCAACAACCACTATTGTGAGTGTTGGGATGGTGGGTGGAAACCAAGACATCTTTATTTAGGATTAATGAAGTCTGAGGTTCATAACTAAGACAGATAAGGAAATGTGTTCTCTTATGGCAATTCAGATATTTTTAATAGTTGTATTGAGATGTAATTTATATATCATAGAAGCCACTTATTTAAAATACACAATTCAGTGGTTTTCAGTATATTTATAGTATACAATCACTACTACAGTCAATTCTAGAGCATTTTTATCTTTTAAAAAAATCCCTCATATATTTTGGCTATTGTTCCATTTCCCCTCAGCTCTCTATTCCAGCTCTAAGCAACCACTACTCTATTTTCTGTATATATAGATGGACAGCCTGTTCTATACTTTCACATGAAGGGAATCATGTAATGTGTGGTCTTTTATGAGTGGCCTTTTCCACTTAGAATGATGTTTTCTAGACTCCTTGGTGTTGTAGCATGTATTAGCGCTTCAATCCTTTTCATGCTGAATAATAATCCACCCTATGGATGGATCTACAGTCATGCATCACTCGACAATGGAGACATATTTAGAGAATCATGTTCTCAGGCAGTCATCACGGAGTATACTTAGACTAAGATGACTACAATGTCACAAAGTGACACAATCTCATGGGGCCACCATAATACATGTGGCCCATTCTTGACCAAAACTTTGTTATGTTGAATATGACATACCACATTCTTTTTATCCATTCTGTCTATGCATTCATCCATGGATGGGCATTTGGGCTGCTTCCATTTTTTATGCCTTTTTTGATGTTGTTGATTCAGATTTTTTGAAAGATACAAAAATTCTATATTAATTCTAGTATCAAACATTCAAACAGCTTTGTTTTTCATATACTGAAAACTACACTATCAAAAGACATAGATTTGGGCCGAGGATTTAGCTCAGTGGTTCCACTGCCTGCCTCGCAAGCTAAGGACCTGAGTTTGATCCCCGGTACCAAAAAAAAAAAAAAAGACATAGATTTGTAATTCTGAACTTTTTACTACCATAGTTAAGAAAAATGTTAAACTAGTATGCTATGAAGGAGAGGAGGCACAGATTTTCTTCCTGGTTCTGTTACTTACTGTATGACACTTCTATTCTATCTGAGGATTTAATGACCTAATCACAAAATGTAGGACAGAACTTAAATAGTGACTTTAAAATATTTAAATCAGTGGAAAGGTTATTTTCAGTGAAACATTAAGTAGAAATTTAATATATATGATAAAGTTTTTTCAGCCATATAAATTTATTATTTAAAATCCAAATTTATAACATTTTAGAAAAAAATCCAACAGTGAGAATAGAATTAATTAATATTAATATGAGTGCTTGATATCAAAGATTTTGGGTGACGGTTATAATCTATTACATTCAATATTCAGTTTGGCTTTGTGTTCTGCATTAACTTCAGAAAATTCTGATACTCAGAGGAATCACAAAAGAGTTCTTGCAAATTAAGTGAGTACTTTAAAAGCTTGCCTTGCAATCTCATAACACTTTCCAATTAAACAAAGAGGCCAGGTGAAATTTATTGTTTGGAGCATTATTTCTATTTTAAAATATACTTGAATCATGAATTTATGTAAAATTCTAGGAGCACATTCCATAGGATACAGTATATAAACTAATCAACTACTAGAGCAACTCTTCCAGGTTCATAGATTGAAGGTTTATACTTAGTTCTTGCAAGTCTCATTGGGATTATTTGTGAGAACTCTGGATTGGTGGGACTACCTGTGATTCTGGAGAAGCTCACTGGATCTCATTTATTTTTCTGGAGGAAAGAACAGATGGAAGAGGTGGAAAGGAGGAAAATAGCACACTTGATGGAAATAATCCTTTAACCAAAACACCTGGCTCAGCAGAAATTAAGGCTACCCCTGAGTTCCTGAGCCCCAGGAATCTGAAGACAGATCCCTGTCTTCAGGAAGAAGGGGGAAAAGAGGCCCTACAGAAACATCAGGAACTTTGAGACACATCCTCAGATTTCTGGATCTTTGGTCCTGGAAGTGCCAGCAAACTCCTCCCTCTTCAGTGTGTATCTTCACTTCCTCCATGAGGAGGATGAAGAGCCTTCTATTTACTAAGGCACAGGGTTGGGGTCTCACCCTGTGGGTTTTTCTAATGTTCTACATCCTTACTTGCCATTTAGGGCTATGGAAAGAGTAGCCATATAAACTGCCACACAAACTACAACACCATGAGAGCTAAAAAATAGCACCATCAATTCTTAGCTTAGCACAATAATTGCAAACCAGATTGTTATCAGGTAAGCTGGAGTGAGTGGTCACCTGTTTAAGAAACTCTCCTCTTCTCTGATAGAAGATATAACTAAAAAGTAGATAATTTACAGACATGAATCATATATCTAGTAAGATATCAACATGTCTCCAATGAATCTTGACTACTTAAGTTCCTCCAACCCCTTTTTGGTGCTGGGAGTTGAACCCAGGGCCTCTCACATGTTACGCATACACTTGCCCACTAAGCTACCTCTCCAGCCTAATATTAACTATCTTAACTTAATCTAACCTTACAACTTTTAAAACTAAGTTTTCAAAATTACTCTGAAATATAAAATGGTCAGTCAGCTTAAGAAGCACCTGTTTGGGGGAAAAATTCACCTTGTGAATTCACAGCACTAATACTATACAAAAGAGAATGTAATATAAATACCAGAATTATAACTGGTTTATTAAGTATGAATTTGATTTAATACAATTTACTTTCACTACAGCAACATGAAAAAATTAGCCTTTATACTCTTAGAAATATAAAAAAGGTGATCGAAAGATATGGTGAATGTTCAAGTTGAAAAAATCTTGGTACAATAAAGAGACATCGCCAAGAGTGATGGAATAAATGTGTTGGAAAGGAAGGGAGTTATTTTGAAGGGGGTTAATAGCAATGTTATCATTTACTCTAATACATATTTTAACTGAAACATTCTCTATGTTTTGATCACCCTGCATTGATCAAATATTTATGGGAATTCCTATAAAATAAAAAAAATTCAGTGTTTAATTCCTGCAAAATAAAAAATTACAGTGTGTCCTCATCCACTTTATCCAGATCTGGAATTGTGCACCTTCTGGGTCTTCCCCAAAGCCAAAATGCCATGAAAGAAAAATGTTTTGAATGGATTCAGGACATCAAGGGAGCCCTGACAGCCCAACTAAAGATACTCAGGAAAAAGGACTTCCAGAATTGCTTCAGAAAGTGGCATTAATGATGTGATCCACGCGTTTCACACAAGAGGGAGGATTTTGAGAGGTAGTAATGATAATGTGTCTTTCATTGTGATACATTTTTAAAAATTTAAGCATTTGGTGCATTTTTTTATGTTACCATGTATGTTGGTTGTAGATAAAAATTTTTGGATCTTTATTTTTGGGTTCCATTTGTTGAATTTTTTCTTTAAACATTTATTCTGTTTATGTCATTCCCTATTATATTTCTTAGTAAATCAAAATCACATCTTCTTTTCTCCCTTCTATTCTACTCATAGGGCTTTTTGGCCTATTCTTCATATCATGCATTTTCAACCACTCTTTAGAAAAACTTGATATTGAATCTACATGCACTTACCTGATCTACAGCACTTGTTTTTCAAACTGTAATAATGATTTAATTTTCATCAAAAGTTTGGGTATTTCCTTTTGATAACATTGAGTGACTGAGAACTCATATCCCCTCCAAACTTACCAGTCAGGTATGTTTTGCTGTAATATACAGATATTTCTAACCAATATACATTTCTGGTATGCTCTATTGTATGCCTCTAGGAGTGACTTAGGTGCCAATAGTGTTGAACAGCTTACTATACCTTTCAATATTCATCCATTTGAATATAGCAGATGATAGTATCATTAGCTGGAAAGAAGAAGTGAATGGATTTGTTCTACCTTTCTGCTTTTTCATGATTTTTAACCCTTACCTCCTCCAAAAGGTCCCCATATGACTCGGCGGATGGACTTCACCCAGTCTTCCATATCATTCTGGGTGCTCGCCATGAGGAGGTAGCTCTCATGATTGGCAGTCATCCGATCACGGTCGCCTCCTGTAAAGCACATGGGCACATTCAGAGGAAATCTCACCAGCGCCCCACAGTGTCCCTGAAACACAGACTGGGCTAATGCAGTCAGCACTAGGTCCTACCCAATGAACTGGAAAGATTTATCATAGCTTCTGAATGAGGGGAAAACTGCTTAAAAAGGAAGGGCTTATGTGTCAAGGAGAAGGCTGGAAATCAAATTTCATTCCTCACAAAGCCTGGGATTTTTTGTCCTAGCAACAGCCCATAGGCCTGCATTAACTCATAATCCAGACCATTCAAGTGCAGCTGCTGAGCAGGCAGAAAACCAGAGACAGCATGAGAGGCATAGAAGGTGGAACCCTAGTGTACACCATTTTAATGTGAAGCAAGTGCTGAACCCTGCTTAGTGTCACACACCAAATGCCCAGGATGTCCCAGGACATGGGGTGTGAGACCCAGGAAGAGGGTGGACCTCCATGAAGTTCACTTCTGACCTTGAGCTTCCCCTCTATGCCTGCTTTCTGGACAAGGAACCTCGTTGTCCCAGGTCACATTTCCAGAAAGGCACAAAAAGAAGGGAAAGAAGACGTGTGCAGGGCCAGCCATGCAGGCCAACTAACCCTCCCACAGCCCTGACCTCTAAAAGCGAACTTTAGCAAACCCCACGGGTGTCTCCTATAGAAGGTTAATGGTTTCTTTTACATTTTTCTCAAAAAAACAAAAACCAAAATATAAACCATAAACTTAAAATCCTTTATAATTCCTACTAGCAAATTTGAAGTGCTAGACTTCTCAAGCGTGTAATTTAATTCCTCAGAAATCTTTTATAGTGCAATTAAGTTTCCCTGGTGACTTAACTTTGCCATTTACAAAACAAGGACAAACGCCCTTGACCTTGAAAGAGTTCTTGTGGCGTGGTAGTCTCACACCTTCTTCATATGGATAGGAGGAATATATCTGCAGACAACTCTCAGGGAATGCACTTTTTCTCTCTCTTGGAAAATAGTGTTTTCATAGAAGGAATAATTGAAGAAATTGAATGATACTTCACTGCATTTTGACCATATGTTAATATTAAACCAACTTTTCAGGTGCTCAAATATCTATCAACATTTAATTTTCAGTAAATGCTTTAAACTTACAGGCTTGGGTTGAATTAATTCATATTAATGGTTTGTTTTGTTAGATGCTGTGTGTTTGTACGTGGATCTGAATACCTCTGTGTGGGGCTTGCAGGGTCACACTTACCATACACACTCTTTACCCTCTCACACTCACCCTAATTCACACATTGCTTTGACACCACACTTGATCTTAGCCAAAAGGCCAAGAAACCATCACACACTGCTTTGAAAGGTATAGGCATTTGAGTTTGTACCTGAATTCTATTGGGCCATTTTAGGGGGAAGGGGTCGGGGGTAAATATTGAACCCTAGGCTTTTGCATAAGCTACTGAGCTGCACCTCAGCCTGCCTGCCTGCTCTTCTTTTTCTTTCTTTCTTTCTTTCTTTCTTTCTTTCTTTCTTTCTTTCTTTCTTTCTTTCTTTCTTTCTTTATTCCTTCCTTCCTTCCTTTCTTTCTTTCTTCTTCTCTTTCTCTCTCTCTCTCTCTCTCTCATTTTGAGACAGGTTCTTGCTAAATCTAAGTTGCTGGGCTTAAACTTGCCTCCTCCTGCTTGAGCCTCCCAAGGTGCCACCACGCCCAGCTCTATAGAGCCTTCTTGATTTATTTCCCTTGGTTGAGAAGGACAACTATTCTGACATTAAGGTAAATTTATAAATCAAGTAAAAGGTCAGAGAAATGCAATAACTCGAAGCCAACCAGGTGAGCAACTAGAATTGGTGTTTTGTATTATAATATAAGTGGATGGAGCAGGGGAAGGATCCAAAGGCCCCCGATTGCACAGGTTTCCCAGAGTTGGCACAGCTCCAGGAAGGTCATTCACCACTTGAGCAACTTGAATCTCAAAAGCATAGACTAGGGACTCAGGGAAAACCCAGCTTCACCATTGTCTCTTGGCACAGCTGTTTGACCTTCAAGGAATTACATACCTTCTGTGAAGTCGTGTCTCTAATCATACATTGGGAGTAACATCCCTATGTAGCCAGTGTTTGTCAGAGGTGAATGAAATAAAGCGTACAAAAGTAGTAGTACTGTGTTAGGATAAAAATTCTGTAAGTATTAGTTCCACCTCATTTAACTGCCTCCTCAGAGGTATTACATCTAATGAATACTTGGCAATGGTTAGTCAATAGTAACAGGGATTTTTAGAAAATGTTATATTTCTTTGATATATGTGTACATAAAAATCACATTAATATTAGATGCTGCTGCCTGTGTTTATAAATCCACTGCACATTAAGATGCATATTCATGGCTGTACATGATATAAGTGGTAAAAATAATTAAATAGCAAAATAAAAAGATGCTCCATTTGTCAGAGCACTAAGTACTTAGATTCTGTTCTGTATTCTGATCCACTACTCTCCACAGTACTGAGCAAAAAAAATTACCATTTTGAAATCAGAATATTTTAATTACTGCCTTTGGCTGAAGGATCTTAGCAATTCAGACAGCAATATCCTGCTGTGTCACTCCTAGCCTAGGCAGAAATGGCCCTCGTAATGAAGATGAGTGACAGCCTCTAGAGCCTTTTTTGCTTGAAAGCAGAGGAAAAAGAGAATGATAGGCACAACTGGCCATTATCCTCCGACTTTCCATTTGATTTTTTATCTCTGCCCATCATGCTATGTGTCTGACCTTGAATCTCATTTGGACTGCCAATCACGGAGATGAAATCCCCCATGGAAATTTCACCCATAGTTATAGATCTCCAACCTTCATGGTAGCAGCAAGAAAATAGAATTAGAGAGATATTTTCTATGAGTTTGGTGGAAACACAGACTCATTACAAAGAGCGAGACTGCAACATTTATATAGATGCATAACATCTTCCCCCCTTATCCACAGTTTTGCTCTTTGAGGTTTTAGTTAATTCTCAATCAATGGAATATTGAACATATTAAATGGAAAATTCCAGAAATGAAAAATTCATATATCTTAAATAACTGCCCCCCTGGCAAATCATTATACATTTTCACATTATTGTTGTTAATCTGTTACTATACCTAACTTATACATTTAGCATAGGTAGGTATATATAGGAGAAGATATAGTACATATGAGGGTGCTTCAGGCATCCACTAGGGGAATGAATCTGCTTGGGAACAAAGTGGGGTTACTGAAAAGACAAAACCAGACACTCACTAAAAATAGGGGGTTTCTAACTGAAGATGTCACCTGTGCCAATGTGTAACCCTTTACTTCTAAGAGCCTGGTACTAGGCCTTGTAAGTAAAGGGACTCACAAACAATTTTTCAAATACATGATTTGATAAATAAATACACTTGGAATTTTAACTTTCAACCCTGCAGCTTTATGGTATTCAGTGTTTCCCTTAACCATTTTAGAACCAAAAACTCATTCAAGAGGTAAAATCTTAAAAACAAAACAAAACAAAACAAACCATTGACTTCTAATTAACAGTGGGGTTAGCCTTTTAGTCATCTTCAGTCTATACCTTATATGTGTGTGCATTGTATCATATCACATAAGCCAGTGGACATTCTCCATTATTCAAGTTTGCTTAAACATAAATAACTATGCAGTTTCAGTTTTTAAGTACCATTTTAAATGATAATAGGTTTGTACACATTTTTAAATGACACACTATATTGAGTTTTAGATGATAACTTCGGTTGGTAACAATGGTTTGGTACTCGTGTTAAAACTTCAAGCATTTGTGATTTTAAGTAAACAAAGTAGGTCACGTCTTTTTATTTTACTTGTTAATATATAATAGAATGTATTTGTATATTTTATCAAGCTCTTCTGTATATTTGTATTTGATACACATTTATTTTTACCTTTGTATATTTGCATTTGATTTTCTTTTTTAGAAGTAAAATAGATTCTCTAAAGTAAAATAAATACTTGACATGATTAACATTTGCAAAAATCAAAACGTAGACTAAAAACAATGTAATTAACTTAATAGACAAAGAAGCTCTTAATCTGAAATTAAAAGCATGTGAAAGAAACCTATGTAAAGGAAAATTCATAGTTTATAAAGAAAGTTCAAATATCCAACAACTCTATGAAAACTGAAATTTCATTAGTAATTACAATACAATTTAACACTTTCAAATAAATTTGCAAACAGTTTTAAAAACTGTTTTACAGAAGTACTGTAAGTTGTATGCTAAGACATATCCTTTCTTTACAGGAGAATGCATAATATTCCTTATGATACAGCTATTAAAATAGAATTTTGAAGCTTATTAATATGAATTTATTACACAAAAATAAATATACAAATCTTATATGACATCTCAATTTTCATTTAGGTAAAAATACTGAAATACACAATAATTTTAACAATGGCTATCTCTGAATGCTGGGTTTATTTTTCTTGTTCTACTTTTGAACATTTATGTACATACTTTTCTGATGTTCAACCACATACTTTTTTAAGATACATGTGTTATTCTAAGAACAATCACCTATGTGTGCGTGTGTGTGTGTGTGTGTGTGTGTGTGGCAGGTGCCCTTTTAAATGACTGTCCTGGTGGAGCCTGCCCAGTTGGTTTTGTTTCATATGAAGCCCTCCAGAGAAAGGTACAAGGAATCAGCCCAAATTGCTCAGTCACTGACCCAGCCCCTTCAGTTGAGATACAGTAAACTTTGGTCATTTTAATAAAAAATTTTCTGCCTAGGTCATCCTTGCCTGCCAGTTTTTGAACGTGTGATGTATAAATCAGTGTGACTTTAAGCTGAGGATGCTTAGGAGGGTGCCTGTCTCTACCTGTGACAAGTCTTTCCTGTCTGACATGGATAAGTCTCTGTGCTTTTTGCTCACAGAGACTTGAGAATTTTCTCCCATGCTCTCTCCTTACTTGCTGCCAGTAACACAATCCTTCTCAACTCTCTCAGCTCCTGATGATGCTCATCATCAGCCTTGCACTTACGCAGAGGTGAGCCTTCTGTGTTCAGTCATAGCTCTACCAGGTATTATTTTATGATCAGAAAAAAATTATCGAGAACAGGTGATAAGATTGTAAGGACCTTAAGAAGCCAAAGGAAGCTGGAAGGTAATGGTCACTAAGTGGTGCAGTTTTAGCTTGCTCAATGTCAATTCTCATTATTTATATATAACATCTTCCTATTTCCCCAGCTACTATCCCTGAGTGCCTCTGTTACCTGCTGCTCACTGCTCCCTGCAAACACAGAGACAATCTTTCGGGAGGAAGGAGAAAGCCTTCATGTAAAGCTATCTCTGAAGCTGATGGGGCCCCCTTACTGCCTCAGCTTACCATCTACAGTGTTCAGGTATGCAAGGGCCTTCCAGTGAGGAGGAGAGGAGAGAAATACAATGAGAAGATAGATAAGACCTTCTCATAGCCCCCCATGCAGGACCTTTTTAACACCTTCCCTCCCTTCTGGAAAGGAAACTGGACTCCCACCTCCGGGGCCTTGTAGGGAAATATGAAGGTGCAAGATAGTGGCCCTTTGAAGGGAAAGGGGATCTGGTAGGCAGTGAATTCTGTGTCAACAAAACTATGGCACAGGTGCATCTCCCTGTACTCCAATGTAAATAACTTCTGTAGCCAAGGCCATTTTCTGATTAGTGTAAATAATTTATAGAGCTAATACGCTTTTGCTGGCACATAGCCATCTTTGTCTATGCTCCCATATATGCCCAGATGCCCATGTGGAGGCACAGCTGCTTGACAGCTGGAAATAAAGATATCAAATTTGCCAACCGTTTCTTTACCTCTTCTTCAATTGCCCACCGCCCTACCTGTGGAACTTCTATCACAGTTGATAAGTGACAGGCCAGCATTGTCACGTTTCTCTTAAACAGAAAGATTACTTTTGTGTCTATTTATCTGAGCAGAGAGAGGAAGGGTAGCAGTTTACACTTGTGGCATAAGAAATTTGGAGGAGCAGCCCATTTCCCAAAGAAAAATTCCCAACTTTAACAAACAATCTATTTTGTCTCCTTGGTTACTTGTGTTCAGTGAGAGGTTTGGACAGGAGACCAGCACTGCTCAAAGTACACACTACATCATGAAACTCAGTGACCAAAGGGACCCATACTATTGTGTGTAAATGCTTCTAAGAGTTATAGCTCCAGAAACAGTTTTACTGAACTTATTGTGTGGAAAGTTCCAGAAATCTTGACTGTTATGGATTGGATCTTAAATGTCTCAAGACTTGAAAGGCTGAGTGTTGAAGGCTCAATCACCAGCCAGTGGCACTACTGGGATGAAGGAAATCTTCAGGAGGTGGAACCTAGAAGAAGGAAGTTAGGTCACTTGGACAGGCCTGGCAGGGAGAATTGTTCCTCCCACCCCTTCCTGTTTCTTACTTCCTGGTCTCCAAGAGATGAGCAGTTTCATCCACCACATGGTCCCCACAGTGATGTTCTGTGCCTCCAGAGGTCCAAGTGACAGACTCTCTGAAATCTCTGAAAGCATGAACCAAAATATTTTTTTTCTCTTTATAACTTGGGTGTCTTGGATATTTTGCCACAATGACAGAAACCTGAATAATACAGTCACAAAGTAGACTTGCCACTCTTCCTGGTAAGGAAATACTTGTAAGTCGTCATTAAGATTGTGAATGAAAAAGTAAAACAATTTCTCAGAAGTGATATATTTATATGCATGTCTGCTCCAGTAAACAAACTTTTAAAGATATTCAATGAATTCGCTTTTAATTTTATTTTAAATCAAGTTACCCCAAGGAAACTGCCCTCACAGACATTTGAGTTAGCTTCTAACATAAAACCCAGTACAGATCTGAGGCCATTCAAGGAATGCTTTCAATGCTGTTAATAATAATTTTAAGGGTGAAATGTTTCCTCCTTCCTACTTGCAAATTAAGTCAAAACTAGACTATTATACTGTCCATTTTATTATAGCTTACCAAAAAGTAATGCTTTAAGTAGAGCAATTTGTTTTTACTTGTATAGCTGAAAGTTTGGTTTTTTTAAAAAAGCATTACTTTGCTCACAAACCTACAATGGTGCCTCAGTTTACCAACTTAATTCATTCTAGGATTCTGGCTACAAACCAGATTGGTCATGAACTGAATCAAATTTCCTCATAAAGTTCAATGTAAATAAAGTCAATCCATTCTGAAAATAGGTATTTTTTTAAACCACAAAAATATGAAACAAAGTAGAGTACAGTGCAATATGAAGAGAGAGAACACTAATCTTGCTTGAGGAGACTTCTGTCATGGAGAAGAGGAAGGTGGGTAGGAGGAGGTTATGGTTTGGAGGGAGAGTCCCCCTTCGTAAGGTCATCTCGGAGATCTCCTTCAGGGTTTCTGATCTTTTTCTTTTACCTGCAGTTTCTTAGCTGCAGGGTCAATTTTCATTAAAAGTCTGTCTAATGTCACTTGTTTTATCTTGCTTTGCTTAAACCTCTGCAAATGAGAGATCACATTATCATGAATCAGATTCAACACTCGATTCATTACAGTTATGTTGGTGTGATGCTTCTCAAGGAAATCCTGGCACTCATGCGATTTTTCCATAATGGATTTTATCCCATCGCTGCTAACCTCCTCTTGTCTTCCTCTTCCTCAATGGAGTGCTCCTCACCAAGCACCTTCTGCTGCTCACTTGAGTTCAGCAAATTCTTTTGTTAGCAGCTCCTCCTTGTGGTCCTCAACAAGCTCCCCTGTGTCTGCACCATTGACATCCAGACCCACACTCTTTCCTGCGGACATAATCTCCTCCACTACCTGCGCATCAGACACTTCAAAGTCATGTCCAGTAACACATTCCTATCACAGTTTCCTCTAGGGTGAGTTTAAGGTCTGATATGTGACAAGTTCTCAGACTTTGTCAGTGAGGTGGATAAAGTGGAGGACATTGAAATGTTTCTCCAGAACTGTTTCAGAGTCAAGGATGTCTCTTCAGTTACATTAAAACACCTGGTGAAGAGCACCTTTGTGTATAGCTTCTTAATGTTGCAAGTCACTTGACGGTCCATGGGCTGCAGAAGAGGTATGTTGGGGGAGAGAAACTTGACCTTTATGAGGTCATACTCAGCGTCCATGTCCATATCATCCACCAAGGCTGGATGGTATGCCAAGGCACTGTCCAGCAGAAGAAGGCATCTTTCAGGTGGTTGGTTGTCAGAAAGATATTTCTTAACCTTGGGTGTGAAGACTTGTGCAGCCATTCTATGAACAGTTGTGCATGAGCCAAGCTTTCGCATTGGCCCTCCACATGGCAGGCAGTCTGGCCTTGTTCACATTCTGTTCCTTGAATGCATTAGGGGTCTGGGAATGGTACACCAGTAGTGGTTTAATCTTCAGATGGATGCTTGGGTTCCCACACAGCAAACCTGTCCTTCATGGGCTTGTGTGCTGGCAGTGCCTTTTCCTCCTGTGTAATATAAATTCTGTTCAGCATCGTCTTCTAGAAAAGCCCTGTTTCATCACGGTTGAACACTTATTGTGTGACATAGATGTATCCTTTTGTTTTCATGAATTCCACGAATTCTTTCTCATAGGCTTCTGCAGTGGCCTTGTCAGAACTGGAAGCCTCACCTTGTCTTAACATACTGTGGATGCCCTTTCTCTTGTAGAATTTATCAAATCACCCTCTACTGGCTTTAAATTCAACACTCATTGTACTTGTAGAGGGGTTTTCCTGCAGTAAATCATTGTGCAATTTCTTGGCTCTTTCACAGATCTTACCTTCACTATCGCTATTACCTGCCAGCTGTTTCTCATTCAACCACACTGACAAAAGTTTTTCCACTTCCTCCAGCACTTGTGTCCTCTCTTGGTTAACATCATTACTCCTTTTGCCACACCAGCTCTTTTGATGGCATCTTTATTCCTCAAAATATTCAAGATCTTGTTCTCTGAGGCTGGTTCAGTCACACAAATACCACATTCTTTTTTTTTATAATTTCCTTCTTCAATTCAATGATTTTTTTCTTCAAAACCTTCTTACCATTCTTGCTCTGCTCTTTCTTGTCAACGTCATTACGGCTCTGCACTTTCTTTTTACCACCATGTGTGCTCTGCACTTTCTTTGGTGCCATGTTGGATTCAGTAATACTTTACAGTACTGTGTATGCTAAAAGCTCATAAAAAAGCTACACAGCAAGTGTGCACAAGTTTGTCAGCAACTGCAATCTCAACTAGAGGAGGCCACAACCACGTGTCAGAGTGGGGAGGATGGCCGAGGTTGTGTTCATCACCCATTGGGGAGTTTGTGAACAGAAGCAAAATTTTGCCAAACATTTCTGTTCACAAACTGAATTGTTTGATAACACAAGTATTCGTGAAATGAAGCATTGCTGTAGTTTGGTTCTTTATTGTTGGTGAAATTCTAAAGATGAATTGCAAGATTTCAAATATTAAAGTATACTGGAGGAAACCTGATATGGAAAAACATTCTTCCCCTTTTATGGAGACTGAAAAACCAAGTAGGTAGGAGATGCAAACAACAAATTATGGGCTTCTATGGAGGCTATCATCTATTAATAAATAACAATAAAAATGCATCAGCACATAATTCACAAAATGAAGCCAAAGACAAATTGGACTCACATTTAATATTTATTTTCTTCATGAAATTTTGTGTATTACAGAGATTTTATGACCTACACATTAAAAATTCTGGTATGTCTTGCTGATTAAGTTTTTCCAAGTATTTCGTCTCCAAATGTCATTTGAAAAAGAGCAGAAGGGCAAATTTCAATGCATTTTGTCAACAGAAACGTTGCATAATTCTACAATAAGACTTTGAAATATTAAATATAAAATCCATAAACCAGGAAATGAGAATTAAAGGCTTTGGAAACAGAAACTGGAATAATTCTACAGCAAGAATTTTTAATATTTTAAAATTTTAAAAAGAAAATATATGAATTAATAAAGGATCTAGTTGGCAGTAACTATCATTACATCTGTGGTCAGTACTGTACAAGAAATAACATTATTAAATGTTCTCTGCATTAAAATATAAATAATGGTAAATTGTAATGTCTTGAGCACTTTATTATACCGTTTGCATACATATTCATCAGTCCCCTACTAGTTCATAATATTTTGGTAAGAAGGAATCAGTCTACAGTATTTAGTTAGCTAATGTTTCTTTAAAGCAGCTGGAAGTGAACAATTGCTAGCGAATTACTTTTGGAGGTTTCTAAGAAGTAAATCTCAGAATGTTATGTTGGAAATCTTTCTACAGATATGCTGACAACTGACCTGAAAGTTCTGTGCTATCCAAATTGCTTCTGATTTGCCTTTTCTCAAACTTTACAATACAAATGTCCAAAATCGTGAATCTTAGAGCCGAAGTATTGCCTTGATCAAACTGCAAATACAAACAGGTGATTAAAAGGAAGTTTGAGAAATGATTAAGGGTTACAACAGGGAGCCCAGACTCCTGGGTTCAAATAGTCATTTACTAGCTGGGAAGTCTGTTATCTCCCAGTGAGGGTAATGTAGCACCTCCTGTAGAATATTATTGTGGATTAACAGAATGAAAATACCATAAACACTTTGAATAGGCTTGGTTGTTTTTTGTTGTTGTTGTTTTTCTGTGTTTTTTTGGTACTGGAGATTGAACTCAGGACCTTGTGCTTGCGCAGCAGGCACGGGAACCACTGAGCTAAATCTCCAGCCCAATAGGCTTGGGAAGTATGTTGCTATGCCATTATTGCCTTATATAATAATTTTAATCCTAAAT